CATTGGTAACCGACCCAAAGCAATTTGATTGTAATTTAATTCGTGACGATCATACGTAGAAAGTTCATATTCTTCAGTCATTGATAAACAATTTAAATGCTACACATTTTTGTGGTTTTTCTTTTCGATATGGTTACAGATGCCATCGAAGATACAACATGCCGTTGATTGTTGTCAATGATTCCTTTAAGATTCATTATTATTTGTTAATAGAAGCTTGGAATTGGCCATGTGAAGCATGACAACGCTCTAATGTGACCTTTATTCACTCCAGTTCTTGATGATACTGGATTATTGGCAGTTACTAGTGAGCCAATTGATGACCAAAGACAATCCACTGTATCATCATTCGTGTTATCATCATATGCCAAAATTTGAACCAATAATTCTCGAACCTTCTTCTCTTTAAAGGCCTTCTTGCCACATAATCTCACTGAGATGAAAGACACAGTCTTCCATTCAGCTGTTAATTGGTCCATTTGCAACACACACTGATATTTTTGTTCGAAGTATAAAATATAAAAACTATACACCTCGACTCAATAAACGAGTTAATCGATCACGAGTACGAGCCCGTAAACAAACATCGAGCTCGAGCTCGGTAAATAAAGAAAATATTTGAGCTTCAGCTTGAGCCCTACATTGAAAAATTGTTCGAGCTTAGGTCAAGCTCGAGTCTGGTATATTTTTTCCGAGCCGAGCTCAAAAACCCTACTACTCGACTCTCCTCGTTATGCCTATACACGCAGACACAACGACAATAATACTCTCATCTTTGACTCCAGAGTCCAAACAAACGAGCACTCGCCACTAGGCACTGGTTCATGCTCAGGAGCTCGAAATCGACCACCAAGTGCCAACATGTTAACAGAACGAGTTGAAATTTTGTTTTAATGTGTAATTTGTTCATTTGCTTTAAGTTTAAACTATATAGAAAAATATATAATAGTACTATAATGTGTCAGTTTAACCAAATTAGTAAAAGGTTAAGTTAGTAAAAAGTCAATTGAAAATCGACCTAAATAAGTTATCTTTATTCGGTTAACTAAATTGTTTAAGCCGAAAAGAAAAACCCCAAACCATTTTCATCCGGATAAATTATTTGGTTTTGATTTTTTTTCTACACAAATAAGTGTGCCCTCAACTATAAAAGTTTTTGAATCCGCCATTGACAACAAAAAGGAGTATAAATGAAAATTCTAAGGTACCTTTGGTTGAAAAATATTAATTGTCATGTTTCGAATAAAATTAGAATATGTATTATTCTTTAAGGTTATAAATGAAAATTCTAAGGTACCTTTGGATGAAAAAAGCTTAGGGTGTCGCACATAGATTCCGAAGAACCATAAGGGTGGTGCTCAATTGGTTTGAGCTTGGGCTTCAAGGTCAAAAGTGTCTGGAGATCTCAGGTTCGAATCCGAGGAAAAATAAAAGTTCTCCTGTGGCCACTGAGGTTCAAATGCGGTGACTCCGGACTACCCGTGAAACAAGTGGTCGTCCTGTAATTAGTCAGCTCGCATAGCTGGTTGGATATCCAGATTAATTAATTAAAAACTATTTGAAGGCCTTATGAGTGAGTATGTATCCATTGTTTTGCCAAAAAGAAAAAAAAAGAGTATTAGTAATATAACAATCAAGAAATGAAATTTGTTCCTCTATAGAAACTCATATACCATAAATAGAATGAATCGTATTTTCAATTATTTTCACTTGTTAGTTGTTACATAACAACCCCTGTACTTGTGAAAAAAAACCAAAAACCACCAAGATTTGCATTTTCTTTCGTTTTTGACCAAAAGTTAACGGAATAGAAAAAATATTTTATAATGAAGCAAGTAGTTTGTCCGCAAAAATCACAAGAAATTACTAACCAGAAAATTTTCAAGCGAAATTTCGAACTAGTATCTGCATTGATCATTTGTTTCGTGGCTTCTTCCACAAAACCCCAATCCTTTTAAGCATATTACCGTTTTTCCGCTTTGAAAACTCATCATCTTCTTCTTCTTCATCTTCATCATCATCATCATCATCGATCTCCAGACTACAAGGTGAACTTATGTTGTAATGACCCATTGAACATGATCTTTCCATCAACATCCTGCCATTGTTATCGCTGTTCTCGTCACAGAGCATGGCGGTAGCCACCTCAGCCGCCTTCCGCCATTGACCCATCTGCACTTTCAGCCTTTTCAGCTCTTCTTCTGTTTCATAGTTAGTCATCTTCACTGCCTCTAGTTGCTCGGTTACTTCTGCAACTTCATTGTTACTCTTCATTTTCTTGATTTCCAGTTTGAGCTTCTCATTGTCATCTGACTTTTCGCGTAATTCCATCTCCAGATTCTGTAACTTCAACTTTAAACTGTTGAAATCTTGTTTTGAAACCTCTATGACACTGTTTATGTTCTTGGACTCCAGTTTGAGCTTCTCGTTTTCATCCAACTTTTTGCGTAATTCTTTTTCCAAACTCGTCAACTTCGACTTCAAATTGTTGAAATCTTGTTTTGACGCCTCCATGACACCTTTCGTGTCCATGATTTCCAGTTTCAGCTTCTCGTTTTCATCCAACTTTTCACGTAATTCTGTCTCCAGATTCGTCAACTGTGACTTCAATCTGTTGAAATCTTGTTTTGAATCATTTTCCAGATCGTTTTCTTGTTCACCCAACATCAAGTCCGCCAATTTCACCTTCAAATCCTCATTCTCCTCAAGGATACATTGCAATTCAGTCTCTTTATCCATCAGATTAGCCTTCAATTCCTGAATATCTGCTTTTGACCTCTTCAATTCAGCAGTGATGTCCAATGTACGGCTAGATTGTTCTTCATGGAATCTTATTTCTGCTAATTTCAGCTTTCCCAGTTCAGATTTCAAAGCAATGATCTCCTCGGATTCACTTTCTTGATCTTTTGTCTTCATTTTCTTGATAATCCCTTCCAAGGAACGTATACGTGCCCTTGATTGGTCTAACTCCAAAAGGATGGCATTGTATTCACCGCTGGTTAACTTGAAGGATTCCATGGTCTTTTTTGCTGTTTCAAGTTGTAGTAATGTTTCACTTGCCAAGGCCTGGGCCTGAGATTCTGAAATTTTGCAATCTTCAAGTTGGCTCTTCATATCCTCCATGAGCAAAAGCGTCTTGGCCATGTTCTCTTTCAAGATATGTATCTCCACGTATGCTGATTCGGATTGCTTGGTTTGTGTTGCTTCGGATTCCGTTATGGTATCAAGTTTGTCTTTTAGTTGGTCAATCTCAACAAAGGCAGCAGCCAATGCAGCTGAATCGGCTAAGCCAACAGCTTTAGGATCATGTTCATCGAGAGAAGACTGAGCCAAGAGCTTTCGAGACTCTTCCAGCTTTAAAGACATGTCTAAAAGCTCCTTTCTGGACTCTTCCGCGTCTAGTTTTGCCTGTTTTTTCCATGATTCGGAAACAATTAGTTGATCCTTCACCGTTCTTAAAGCTTCCTCGAGTTGAGTAACTTGACTTTCGAGTTCAGCAACTCTTCCCACACGTTTCTTCTGCAGCTTGAAACAAGAAGTACAAATTCCTTAGGTTGTGGAGTGACAACTTCATTCGACATTTAAATCACAAGTTCAAATCTGGATTTTGAATACCAAAATGGTTGCATTTTAGCTTCAAAAAGTTGTTCTTTAAGGTCCCGTTTATGTTGGTCTTTCTTAACTTTTATATTGTAAAAGCATGTGATAATATACACAAGGACCAAGAATCTTATTCTATAAAAAGCATAACAAGAATCAAGAATCTTACCCTATAAAAGGGATAACAAGGACCAAGAATCTTACTGATTGAGCATAACAAAAACCAATAATCTTACCCTATAAAAAGCATAACAATGACCAAGAATCTTACCTCAAAAACATAACAAGGACCAATAATTTTACTCTATAAAAGGCAAAAACATAACAAGGACAAAGAATTTTATCCCATAAAAGGCAGACCAAGAATTTTACCTGATAAAAAGGCATAACAAGTACCAATAATCTTACCCAATAAAAAGCATAACAAGTACCAAAAATCTTATCCGATAAAAGGCATAACAAGGACTAAAAATCTTACTCGATAAAAGACATGACAAAGACCAAGAATGTTATTGACCGACAAGAATCGTACTTGATAGGAGGCATAACAAAAATCTTATTTGTTAAGAAACATAACAAGGACCGAGAGTTTTACTCGGAAGTGGGAAAAAAAAACTCCTACCCGTAAACTAGATTTTAAGGGGAAAAATTCAAAACTCAAACCAAAACAACAAAATCACAGAAAATTTAGTTACCTCAGGAAGAGTGGCTCTTGATGATATGATTCTCGGACTTGTGATTTTTGGTGCTCTAATTGCAGAAGAGCTGGGTTCAAGACCACTAGTCTTGAGTTGGCGAACGGCTCGAGCGGAGCTCCTTGGTACAGTAGTATCCGAAGAAACAGAGCGAGGAGAGATCCTCCGTACACCTTCAGAGCCAGAGGAGCTCTTTGTGCTGTCGATACAAGTCCAAAACTATCAGGATCAAACAAATCTAACACAATATCTAGGAATGCTTCATATAAGACCATCAAATCATGCACTTCAACACATATATTCTACTTCAGAAAAAAACCCCCATAGTTCCACTTTTCAAGCACCCAAAGAAACAACCCATAAAGACCATTCATGAAGTTGGTAAAAATACCTTGTTTTTGGTGTCTGCATTTGTTACTATCTTTAACTAAACACACCAGAATTGGGGTGTTACAGCCAACTTAAATGCTGTATGACCCACAAAACCTGCACCAGTTTCTAGAGAGAGAGAATGCAAAACCTGCAAGAAATTAGAGAGAATGAGAGACAAGCCCAGTGGGTGTTTCAAGAATGAGATAGAATTGAAGAAATAAATGTGTGAAATGGAACATGGTATTCTGAAAGTGGAAAGAGGGTAAAAATTCAAGTGCTGCTGGTATGGCCCAACAAACAACAGTAAAAACTATGTAGTAAAATTCCAGATTTACATCTGTTTGGAGTTTTACGTACGTTAGATATCGTTTTTTTTGCAATGAAAAGGCTCTTTTAGACGGTAATATGATACGGAATTATACAAACCAATTGACAAATTGAAGGTTTATAAAAAATGTGATAATGGTGGTATTATAGCACTTGATTAGCATGAATACCCACCTACAAACAGCAATTATTTGAGGAGCAAAGAGTAGTGATGAAATTTAATGAAAATAATGGAGTATCTGAGTAGCAGTTGAAGCATGTTGGGTGCTCCCACCATTATTGTTTTCACGAGTGTCAGGCCAGAAGGATGGTAGAGCAAGTTACCCATATCACCCTTCATCTCAACTTGTGTAAACCGATGTTGACCATGGGCATTTTGGACATTTCAAAAGGTCCGCCATGCTTGTCCGTGATTGAAGGTGGTTGAATACGTAGACTTTAGTTGAGTTTAAAGAATAAATAAATAAAACTGTAAACAACTCACATGATTTGGCCTCCCTGTGCACTCATGGATTCAATCAGAAGCTATTTTACGGACCCATCTCGATCTGAAAAACCAAGGTTTTTATTATTATTATTATTATCAAGGATGAGGGTGTTTGGGACTGCTTATAAAAACAACTTATTAACTTATTTCGGTATGGTATCGGTAATAAACATTTTTAAGTGTTTGGATAAACAACTTATACTAATGTCAAACCGGTAATAAAAAGTTTTTAAAGAAGTTAAACTCTTCTGACTTGTAATAAATTGATAAGTGCTTTTATAGAAAAGTATAAGTTGTTTCAAATAAGCATAAAAAGAAGATATATAAATAGTGATGGAGATGGATAGGAGCCATTAAACTCGTAATAATGACTCAACATATTCATTTGTGAATTTATGGGTGATTCTTGAAACTTCAAATCCCGATAGTGCAATGAACCCGTCAACATCAATCAACCCAACAAGTGAAAACTCCTTAAATTTATGTACTCGATTGACGGGTGATATTTAAAAGTCCAATCAGAAGACTTGTTTTTTTATGAATCCCGTGTATTAATTGTATTAAAATGATTTATTATTAATTTATGATCATTTGTGTAGGAATTTAGGTGACTGGATTAGATTTTAGAGAGAAATTTTCAAAGCCAAATAATCTATTTTAACTTAAATGGTTTCGAGTTAAACAGTTCATTTAACCGAATAATAATTTCGTTGGGTTTCAATTATTATTTTACTATTTTGGTTAAAAGGAAAAGTTTAAAAAAATTCAATGAACTTTAGTGTTTGGAATGATTAATTCATTAGATAATTTTTTTGAAACAAATACGTACTTGAACATTTCAAAACATGTTAAATAATTTCTTGAACTTCTAAAACATGTTAGATACGTTCTTATGACCTATACAACTGGTTAATGTGGTAAAATAATGGAAAAAATCTGAAAAAAGTCAATGGACTTTCATATTTTGAATGATTAAGTTCCTAGATATTTTTTGAACAAAAAAAGTACTTACATCCAGGGTCGGTCCTAAGATTTTTGATGCCCTGTGCGAAAATAATAAAAAATGCCCCTAAGCCTATTTTTTAAAGCCAATGAGACAACGAAACATACGATTTTTTAAAGAGTTTAGTATCTATTCAAGCTAAGTATCTCATCCCAATCTTGAATTTTATTAATTATAATTAAGAAAATACGATGGAGGGGACATAAAAACCAAAACCCCGAATACAAAATATAAAATGATAAAACGATAAATCCTGGATTAAGATCGTGCTTCCTTCTTTTTCAGTTTTCCCTTTTCCAAAATTGAAATTAGCAAAATAGAAACTTTATTTCAATATATGAAACTTAAAAGATAAGGAAAACTATAATTAGTTTTTAACTAAAATAGTAAATTGCATCCAAGTTGTTGTCATAGTAAGCAAATTGTAAAACTTAAAAGTTACAGGTCTAACGACTAAAGACTAAACGATTATCTATTAGCAGCTTAATAAGTTTAATAGAACTAACAGCTTATTCACTTAACTATGCATGACTATTTCGTAGTGGTTTAATAATGTAGAAAATAACTTATCCAGTAAGCTTTTAGGGGGAGCTTTATATAGAAAGCCAAAAAAATAATTCCAAACATATCCCTTCCAACTAAAAAACTCTCCGAAACAAAAACTCTTCCAACTTATACGAACAGATTAATTCATACAGACAACTTTATACAAATAAAAACTTTTCCAACTTTCCAACTTTTTCCAACGATTTGCATTCAGTATTCATCACTACTAGGCCTTGGGCTTGGTTTTATAGTCAAAAGTTCAGTTGTCAAATTCTCAAATTATTAAACTCAAAACTAGTAATAAATGACAATTTGATGCCCCTTTAGGCTTTGATGCCCTGTGCGGCCGCACGGGCTGCACGTGGCCAGGGCCGGCCCTGCTTACATCTATAAAATGAAATAAATATACCAAAAAATGAAAGTATTTTTTTGGTATATTAAAATGTCTAGGAACTTAATCATTTAAAATATGAAAGTCTATTGGTTTTTTTCAGAATTTTTTCATTATTTTACCATATTAACCAGTTTTATAAGTCATAAATATGTATCTAACAGGTTTTAGAAAGTCCAAAAAATTATTTAACAGGTTTCGGAATGTCCAAGGACTTATTTGTTCCAAAAATTTATCTAAGAACTTAATCATTCCAAACATTAACGACCATTAGGTTATTTTAGACTTTTCCCTTGGTTAAACTGAATAACAAATTATATCATGAGTTTATATGTTTTATTTTTAGATAATTAGTTTAAGGCTTTTGAGCATATAATAAAATTAACATATGATAAATGAATTTACATTAAAGTTAAAATAATAAAATATTGAAATAAATTTAATAAAACAATATATAAAAAATAGATATTGAGACGTGAGATTAATTGTTTCTTTTAGTTTTCTTTTTTAAAAACTTTTTTAGAAAAAAAAATAATGATAAGTTTTCTTCTAAAACTTTACTTTCAGATATGGGAAGAAAGGAAATGAAAGAAAAAGAAAAAAAATTAAAACCATTTAAAAACTATTAAAATTACAAAAAACGATCCAACTTTTCATTATAAAAGTAAAAGATACATTTTTAAATGGTGTATTTATAAAAATCACATTTTTCCTTTTGTTAATTATTAGTTACTAATTAATATTATTTTTTAACTTATTAATTCATTTTTATTATTAATTAATATTAATATTAATTATTGATTATTTAAATTATTTTTAATTTTATCAAATACTTTTATAATTATTCAATGTATTTAATCGTTAAAAAACAAATATAACAAATTTAAAATGAAATTATATAAAAGTTAAGTAATATGTTTCTTTTGTTTCATAAGTAATAAAAATTTGATATACATTTTAATTTAATATTTTTCGAAAAATTATTAATAGGAGAGTTGTGGTTTTCTTGAAAATTTAAAAAGATTCCATATTTAATGCCTGATGTACACATTTTAAAGCATGAAGTCAAGGACACAGATGTCTTTATCCAAGTTTTGATGGTAGATGTACAAGTTTCACATGAACAGTTATCTACCCACGTACCTTCCATATCCACCCATGAATTTTAAGGGGTTGTTTATTAGCGGCTTATTGATCTATCTGGCTTATTCGTATAGCTCATTTAGGTTGTTTACTTACGGTTTATTCGCACAAAACATTAATCGTACAGATACAAATGGTGTATTGTCCCCATTCAGCAACAAAAATGACACTCCTACCCCTTATTTAAAGCACCGCCTCCTTCCCATATGAGACACCCCATCTTCGGACTCTTTATGATTTTTTTGTTTTGATGTTCAAATAATTAGGGGGTGTTTGGGATTGCTTATTTAAAACAACTTATGTTTTTTTTGTAAAAGTGCTTATTAACTTATGTGGTATTAAATCGGAGTTTTGTAAAAAGTGTTTGGATTAGCTTATAGCGGTATCAAAAAGCAATAAGCTGATAAGTTGTTTTTTAGTGTTTGGCAAAATTTGCTTATATATGTAAAATGACCAAAAATAACAGTCTTCCATATAATAATATTTTTTATTATTAACTTATTTGATTTTTTAACATGTAAAAATTTATTTTTCATCATTTATAATAATATTTTTGACAAAAATTTATATCTATAAGATTAATAATTAACAAACATTAATAAAACATGGTTAAAATGATAAACTGGTAATAATCAGTTTTTCATAAGTCAAGAAGGATTAACTTATCAAAAACTGCTTATTACCGATTTGGCACCGGTATAAGCAGTTTTATTTTTCCTCATCCAAACACTAGTATTTAGTTTATCACTGGTGTCAAACTGAAATAAGTTAAAAATCACCTAAAATAAACAATCCCAAACACCCCCTTAATATTGGAGAGTAAATCGGTCATTTATATTATTAAGACTGTTGGTTCAGATTAGAAAAGTAAACAAAAACACTCATTTATCCAAACAGACAAATGTATCCATACAGGACTTAGTAAAAATTTTTGGTAAACAGCCCCTAACCCCTGCCCATAATTCTCTGCGATGATATTCAAACACCCCCTCCTCTCAATTCCGATTGGTGAATCTCTCCCTCAACAACTCAGTCGTCGTCAAAAGTTCCCACATCGAGAATCAACCATGAGAAATCTGTTGATGCCATTGTTCCAACTCTGCAACTTAGGATGTTGATTTATCATTCTTGTTTACAGGAACATA